AAGAAGTCCTCATCTCAGCTTCTTGTGACTTCGGAGAAGTTGTGCTGTCTGTCATTGTAAAAGCGAAAAATCACACCTTAAGAAAAACCGCTCTATGAAACTGCGCCAATTATTATGACGTTCCATTTCGAATGAAAAGTTGGTTGCAGGAATTCCTCAAATGGTCTCACCGGAAACCCAAGGAGAATTAACTGTCGTATATTGGATTGTGGGAACCAGTCCTCGACTCACTGGTCCTAGAGCCTGAGGAACTCGTGCTAAGCTCTCATCTGTACCTCCGCGACAAATATCGTCAGAGAAAACAAGCATTATTTACGAAAGAAACACGCTAAATACGATGAGTCAAGAATCAAGGATAACCCACTTCAGTCAAGCTTACTTCCTATACTAAACTTTCAATTCTACTGAAGCATCTTATGAATTGATTGACTATCATACATTCTTGCAGAATAGTGCGGTTGATGTAGAGAATTAAAGTTGAGTTCGATTGCCGAATTTACTGTCGAATGCAATCAGCATAAACCCTGGACCATTATCACCATTGATACCATGAGATTGATTAAAACAACGACGAAAATTCCATTGATGATGGGGCTAATTATCTCCGCACACTCTCTGCGGCCGAATCCTTGAGGGGTGCAGATGGCGGTAGGTGGGGTCGAATCCACGGTTGATGATTAGTAACACGGTGGAGGTAGATTCGCTCGAAGGTGACTATATTTTCAGTCTACTTCACTTTCGAGGGAGCTTTTGGGTCAAGTGATTCGAAGGTTGATCTCACAAGAAGACGACGGTGGATTTCTCTTGACCTTTACTGGAACTTTCTTATTGAACTTGTTTCAGAACTAATCTCCTTTGATTCAAGTGACAACATGCTAAGCTTTCATCCTTCGTATGACGGACATCATCAGATCAGGGTAGCATTCTTACAGCCATATTCAAGCTAAAGAGTCAAAAAACCCATCTGTTCATCCCTAAATGCTGTATATATGCTCTATATCCAAGCTTGACTCGTCAGCTTGAAGATGGTTGCAAGGATGCTACTCTGCTCTGATGATGCCCGTCATACGGCGGATGATGGCTTAGCACGTTTTTACCGGAATTAAAGGAGACAACTAGAATGTTCCAGTAGAACCAAGCGACAGCTGGTCAAGAAAAATCGGCCTTCGTCTTCTTGTCAGATCGGCCTTCTAATCTCTTCATCAAACACATTCACTCGAGATGGAGTAAGTTCAACAATTATGAAACAAGAGATTATTCGAAACCCAAATTGTTTTTACATACATTTTTACTCTCAAAGCCAACGAGGAGGTATCAATAGGTGTATCCCGTTGCCCCGAGGAGAAGACTATTCGCCTCACGACATGGCATGCCTTCAAATCCGTTGAATTGCCTATAGAAGAGGTTCTACAAAGAGGCTTTCAATAAGGCAAAAAGAAGGGGCGGGAAATGTTTTGCTCTTGAAGGAATTTTGTCCAAAGTATAGGCCAAATCAAATAGGCCCAGTTGCTGTGGATCTTTTTTAACTTTGGTTTAATTGAAGGTATTTTTGTCGCAGTCTTCTGCCTCTATAATCAAGTGGCCCCGACTTATGTTTTGTAACCTGATAGTGTTGTCATCGTCATGCTGAAGAACATATTCAGTTGGGCATTCTCTGCTGCAGTAATCCTGATAGTTTCCAGCATGGGCCCGAGAACTGAGTACATTATTCTAAGTTTGGCCGGCATCATCATTTTTCCATTCTAGTGTTGGCTCTAACTTACAACTGTTCAAAGAGACGAATCAAATCACTAGACCACCGCTATGGGACAAGCAACAAGATGTGAAGGAGATTCTGATTGCTGTCTACAGGCTGAAATAATCCAGTTAGGTCAGCAATTCAGTCACGCTAGAAATGGCGAGAGGAGACCAAACAAAGATGTGATTATGCCTCACGAGACCCACTAAAAAGAGCTCCTGTCTCCATAACTCTGACCAAATAGGTAAAAAATTATGATAGTCAGCGAGAACGATACAAAAATATGGCTGAGAACCGGAGAACGAGAAATTCCAAATGCAGTTGAGCAGAAAATTGGTCATGGGAAGTAGCTTACTTGTCTCTTAGACAAGTGGTAGCTTTGTGCTACGACTGGCAAGACTCACTGATGATGTCGACTAGAAGGTCTACGAACTCTCCATGAAGTTACCCATTTTATGGCCTCAGGCTGGTAATTCTCATGACTGACATGGAGGTGCAGGTCAGACAGAGTACTTTATTCGAGGTCACACTGACAGCATAGCCAAGTTGCGAAAGGGAGGTCACACCAAGGTTACTTTTGGTACCTGGCCAAAATAAAGATGTTCAAGAAACTGGGCCTCTTGAACTTGATATGTCCAGTATGGGTTGCAAAATTTTCGATTTCATAATAGCCATATTGAATGCTCAGATCCGCAATCGGAGAAATGACCAAAAATGTATCGATTTTGTCCAATAATCACTCTCTCTCCCTTAGAAAGCTATTTTACCAACAAACACTATTCACATTATTCATAATATCTTTACTGCTTTTGTCCGAAGTTCCGAAGCTAAACATTTTGAGGGTGGCTTTAGAAATTGAGCGCCAAATAATCGGCTTTCTTTTCTTTCCCCAATCAGGAAATACTAAATCTTACAGTCACGTGGGAGAGGAAGAGGAGGAGGAGGAGGTGGAAGAGGAGCAAGGGGAGAAAGAAGAAGAGGGAAAGGAGGAGGACGATGGTGAGGAAGAGGACTCTGTGGCGTCTGAGCCGAAAAGCTACTATGTTGATCCGACGACCTACGAGGATCCAAGTCAGGCCATACAGGATTTCACGAAAGAACTTGATCCCAGCTGGGTGGAGATCGAATCTGTAATTGGAGGAGGTGAGTACAAAATCGCTTGGTAAAATATCACTGTTCTTTATGGAATTGAAACCTGTATCTCGTAATTTATTGAAATCCACATTTTCTCGAAACACTTACGCCTTATGTCTGGAAAAAAGCCTTTATTTCCTCGATAATAAATAAGTGATTTTCGGCATTTAAATATTCAACACTCGTAGCAGTTTTTTTTGGGGTGCATGATTTTTAAATGCTCTTCCCCGTTTTTCATTGGGTCTTGTAATATAATGATGGCATCTCTGGCCACGATTACTTTTCGTCTTATCGAACCCACACACGATGTTCAACAATGACCATAAGGGTTTAGAAGTTGGTAAAAAATAGTATAAATTGACGAATTAAATCCCGCTGATGGAGTGATGTTATAATAACGCAAGGTCGAAATTTCAGTTACATTGGAATAAGGTCATCATTTTTAAGGGCAGCAGGGTTACAATCATTTGTACTTAATCGTTGCCAGAATCGTTTTTATTACGATCCATTGATCAACATAGTCTGGTAAATTCCTGATGCTTTTGGGGCACAGAAAACTACTGAAAAGTATCTAGTCACGCAGACTTATGCTCTAATTCCTACCAGCATTGTGCCTATTTCCTACACTTGAGAGGACATACTCCCTATACCTTGAAAATCTTTTGATATGAGTAGTTTTTGAGAGTACCAGAAGTTCGTCAATAACGACTTGAATCAGCCTAGGTCACCGAATGTGATTGCTTAGTTTTCCAGTATTAAAATGAGTGGGTAATCAGGAGCAATCTAGAAGTCTTTTCTGCTCAGTTACCCAATGACTCCTGTGGCTGCCTACCGAAGTGTTAGCTAGTCAACACAATACAGAAACCCGTTAGTGTTTGAATGAGACCTGTAGTCGAGCCGAGATGTGAAAGTCAAATGAGTGGCAAAGTTGTGTGAACTTCAATGATATCCTGTGGTTTATTCACTAAATTGTGGGAAAGCTAACTATCAGCCCTCTTGCATCAAGTTTGGAGACCAAGGCTGTTCTTATGTTCTTAATTTTTGAAAAGGACAAAGTTGATTATCGTCTCGTTGTATATACACAGATTGTTCTAAGCACTACTGAAATGACTTCAAGTAGTAGAGTTTATTGCTTGGATGTTCAATTCGTAGGAAAGTCTATGAAGAAGAGATTCTTGTCTTAGT